CGAGTGCGGACGCTGGTGACCGGCGCAGCATGGACACGGCGCGGGGCTGCGCGGGCGTCCTGCTGCGGTGAGTGGGGGCGCCTGGGCTGCCCTGCCCTGCCCTGCCCTCGGGCTCCCGCGCAGGGAGCCCAGGCGATGATGCAGGGCCGCGGTTTGCAGGCGCAGCGCGGACTCGGGGCGAGCAGGAGACAGAAGGGCCGGTGTGCAGACAGGGGTGGCTGGCGCGGGAGGGTGCGGGGCGCTGGAGTGAGGGGCAGCGCCGGGATGTCGCTGCCCGCGGAGCAGCTCCGGCGCTCGAGGTGCGCCGGCTGAACCCCAGCCCAGCCAGGGACGCGGCTTGGCCCTTCCTGAGAAGACGAAAGCAGCGATTCCCGACCAGGGGTCTTCAACCGGGCGGTGGCCGAGGAGCCGCGAGAGCCTCGGGGCCACACGGCGTTAGCGCCCTGGCGCGATTCCCAAGCTGAACTCGGAGGTGTACAATAGGACACCTTAAAACAGGCCTTGAACCCCCCTCCTCCCCCCCTCCTAGTTCTCTGCAGCAGAAGAATCGCTCTGTTGTTTTTCTGTAGTCAAACCATGAGGGAAAACGGAGCTGGCATTTTCCAAGGGGTGGCATGAGTCTATGTGGGGGCGCATCCAGCCGAAAGCAGACTGGAGGATGGGACGTCTGGGTCACTTGGGTTTGTAAAGCATTTGAAGGTGGTGAGAGAGCTCCACTGCACCAAGGTTTGTTTCCTCTTATAAGAGATATTAGCTAAGAAATGCTTGGTGCCCTAAAATATGGAAGCCTAAGTACAGTAATAGGTGCATGTTTTCTGTTACCTGAAACTTCTGCCTCCTGAATTTCTAACTAGATCCTGGTGATATGAGTTTGTGGGTCACCTGTTAGACTTATAATATAACTTAAATTTTTAGGTACATGTTCATGTTGCTGCTTTTTATCTTCTGTCCAGAAAGACTTGGTTCTCACTATGGACTGGTCTTAAACTTGCTTGTTAATGTCTCTTTGTATGTTCCAATGAATGTACAATTTGGCTTGGCCACTAACTTTTTTTTTTAAGTCCTGTAACCCACAGGGAGACTCAGTTGTACAGTTTGAAACCAGTTGCAAGGCTGCCAAAAGCTCAGACATTGTTGGCTTACTTATTTTTTTGTCTATGAACTCTAACCTACAGGTCACAAGCCAGGCCATATAGTGGAGCCATTGGTGTTGTGCAACTTGTGGGTGCTCTGCAAGTGACTGAAGGCTGTTGCATGGTTGTCGAAGAATGTGCTTTGAGACCTCTTGCACATAAGATGCAGGGTGAAGTTTAGTCTTCAAAGCCAACAGTGTGCACAGGTTCTCTGTAGCACTCACTGCCCACTGAAAAGTAGCTGAACTAACAGAAGCAACAATCCTCTGGGCTAAACTAAGTGTGTTAGGGGGGGCTGCAGCTATGAGCAACAGGTAAAGTAGATTGTAACCTTGCCTTATTCTGTAATGGTCACTTGTATGTCTGACTAGTTGGCAGAGTGTTCTCACATGGAAGATAAGCATCTTCTAAGTCCTGGAACTGGCATGACTTATTAGTAAGGGATGAAAAATAAGCTAGTCCCTTGCAATATTGAGGAATACTAGCTGTAGTCTTGCCTAGCTCTAAAAAGTAAACCACTTGCTAATGAAGTTGTTAAATATAATTAGCTCTTTCTGGGTGTTCTTGCTGCTTGTCC